TTTTTTTTTAGGATTCTTCTTGTTTTAAGCGCTTTGGGCCGCTCTGGGGAAAGCGCAGTATATAAATAGTAATAACAAATACAATAATTTTAAAAATACGATGTATTCATATTACCCATTGTGATCTGCATTGGTCAGGAAAGTTTATAACGTATATTTCGGGATTTAGAGAATATCACTATGAGAAGTATCCTTTTTTAAGGGGGAGGGGTTAAAATTCCAATAAGAAAGAAGTAAGGATTGATGATATTCTGAAAATTACTTTTTGGAACAATATCACAAAGATTATTGCAAGGAACAAAATAGCTAAGGACTTAATTTTCTTTTCTTTTTAAAGAAATAAAAACATGAAAAACTAAATAAGTTTTTAAAAAATGTAAATGACAACAACAAAAATTAAATGCCCATTGGCATATTTTCTACAGTAATGCTCCTGTATTAATTTGGTATTTGAGGTATTTTAAGTTTTTGTGAAAATTTAATGATAGCACTTTAATTTCTAAAAATTATTTCAAGAAGAGGCCACTAATTCTGTTTTTAAAGGAAATTTATTTTTATCATGCGATAAATTATAGTGTAGTGCTGAACTCAGAATGAAAATATTATAATATGTGTATATTTACACATTTAATCACGGTTAGATCATATATGCACTCAAATACATTGATTTGATTTCTATATTTTATTCACAATGAGCATATTAAATTTAGAATAACAGATTTCCCCTATATATTGCCAATGTATATAGTTAGGATTGCGAGCGTTTTTTATTCATCTTAAAGGATTATAAAATCGTTTATAACTGAATTAATATAGCATAACTCACCTTTATGCAAACACAACGTCTGATTTTATTTGATCATTTAAGGCTTGACCATTTTCGTTTGAGAAAAAAAAAATTGTAAACAAACAAAAATGAATAATTAAAAAAAGTCGTTGAACATGCGATGATCAGGAAAATAAAACTATCTGGACTTGATTTTGCCGGCAAAGTAAACTCAGATCATTGGATACATTCCGATAATTACATTATTTATACAATTTTAATTGTCCAGGATATTATGCACATTTACTATTTTTAGTTTGCTAATTACTCATACATCATATTTCTCTCCATTAAATCTGTACGCCACATGTAACATGTTTATTGTTTAACATCAACAAAATTAGTGTACATAATTTTACCGATGCCATAAATAAATGTACAATGCAATCTAATGTTTATTCAGAGTTTAATTCTGTATTTGAAGTTGACTCGGGCAGTTGACATGACACATCCATCAATTTTGTTTATTCTTGTGCTTTGCGTTTTATGTGATTTGATGTAAGTTCCAAAAATATGATCTAAATTTGCAAGCCTTCGTGTCTTTATTGAGTAAAAAGTTGCACAAAAGAATGATAAGTTAAACTTACCTTTAAAAAACAAAAATTAAAAAAAATATTTGGGAACCTAGTTGTTTATCATCTCGATAACCCTTGTGAGGAGATATACATGTGGAGAAACACTATTCACGATGATACATGTAACTGGACTCTAACCATTGTATATGTACACATAATATGTTTGTTATTTTGTGTTTTTTGTGTTTGTTTTGGGCCTTCAATGAAAACACTTTTTTTTATAAGTGTACTTTATTTTCAGTACATTTCGTTCAACTCTAAAAGATTGTTCGATTTGCGTCATAACCATTCAGTACTCCAGATTACTTTTGATAAGCATGATAAAGAAATAGGAAATGAGATTTAAACAGACAAAATAAAAACTGTAATAAAATAAACACTGTGACCCCTATTCCTGATGATCTACGACTTATAATTATCTAGTACAAAATAATGTCGAAGTATACGTAATTTAATTTGAAAGAATCATTAATAGAAAGAAAAAAGCAAAATAGTTAAGATGAATTACTACAAAGTTGAAACATGACAATGTAATCGAACTTCATTACTCTTGTCTCAATTGAACCATTATCATATTGGCGTAATCCGTAACGGAAAGAGGTCCTTCGTGATAAGTTGAAAACTTTTAAGCCGTCGATATCACGACCCCATTTTGTTTTTCCCCTGTAAATATGTGACCCTCCCTGTACGATGCAGGTTCTTTTTCTTCATCACACTTCCTCAAACTGTTATATTATACTTCTCTTCGTGATTTTAGTCTAGCATGTGCATACATCGTAAATAATTTCCGTAAGTCGTTTAAAGTCAGTTTCAGTTTAGTGTCTTTTATTTCACATGAAAAACAATACATTAAAGGCATCATTTAACAATGTTAAATCTGAGATGCACAGCCCTACGTGTTATCAGTGTCTGTGATCTAGTGTAATATTGAAGCCCTAAAAAAATTGCGCTTCAAAATGGTCATATAGTGCCTCAAAGAGGTAAAACAATCTTTAAATGACCGGTTTACCATACTCATTCTCCCCAATTATAATAATGGGTTCTTGTATAGCGCTCATGTCAGTCAGATTTGACCCTCCTCACGCTCCCGATTATTACCCTGGCAATAGACTGCAGTGTTATGAAAACCGTTAGGAAAACACAAAATGAAATTTCGATTTCCAATCATGAATATCTTGATAATCAGACAGGCGATCGGCTTGTAAAAGTCATGAGCTTCCTGAATTACCTAAAGGTTTATAATTATGATTGCAGCATGAGCTAAATCAAGGATTTTGTTTAAGGATCTGAGACAAAGTTAACGGATCCCTTTAACAAAACATAGCATATTAAAACAATCGATACTCATGAACACTAAAGACATCTACACAGCATAAGTTTGTATTGCATTAACACTAGCTTATAGAATTTAAGTTCCTCAAAATCATTTTGACACAGTGTCATTCATAATCAGGTAGAAGCAGGCGCGTACTCAGGGGGGGGGGGGGGGGGGGTTAAACGCCCCTTTGATATTTTTATATGTGTAAACCCCCCCCCCCCCCCATCACCCCCCTAAAATCCCCCCCCCCCCCTCCCTTTGGGATTTTTTTTTTTTTTTTTTTTTTTTTTTTTTTTTTTAGTAGGAGAACGCCCCATCCCCTCCATTCTTAATCTAAGGATTCTGATTTGCTCACTGCCTGGACTGTTTCCATGGCACGCGCCCAATCAACTGAGAAAATAACACACCCTCAACGCTAAAACGGAGACAGTCCCTGCCTTTCTTTTTCTCGACCGGTGTATTTACAGGAAGAGTCCACCATGATAATACTTGGCCTTTACTATGGAACCATAACATTGAGAGAAATAGACCAGTCACGGTTTGTTCAAAATCCGATAAAAAGTTTAAAGTTATGAATCGTTGAATTTGAAATCGATGAAACACAAATTAATAATAATAATAATAATAATAATGAACATTTGTATAGCGCCTTTTCTACAAGTAGATACAAAGCGCTTAATTAACATATACAATGAACAATTAACAAAATAGAAAGATGCTTAACAACAGACATGTATGTAACAATATAGGAATGAACAAAATAAAGGGTAAGACAGGTAATAGAAGAGCAAGAACAAGTGCTGGTAAGCGGGCATTAGTTAAACAAGTGTGTTTTGAGGTGTTTTTTGAAAGTCATTAGAGAATCAGCAGTTTGTACAAAATTGGGGAGATTGTTCCATGATTTTGGAGCAGTGGCTATGAATGCCCGCTTACCAGCATTGGTTCGACACCTTGGGGTATCTAAAACTGTACGAGTGTTGGATCTTAGGTTGTAACTGGAGTGCCTAACATGAACGAGATCAGTAAGATATGAGGGAGAGAGATAGTGTAACGACTTAAAGACAAGGGTGGAGGTCTTGAAGAGCACTCGCTGTTGAATAGGAAGCCAATGCAGAGAGTTCAACAAGGGCGTGGTGTGTGTGCTCTTTGGTTGTTTGAAGATGAGGCGTGCAGACTGGTTCTGGAGAAGCTGAAGACGGTGAATGTTCTTTGCTGTTGTGCCACTCAACAAACTGTTACAGTAATCAAGACGAGATAAAACTAAGGCACGGACTGCAGCATGAGTGGTACTTTCGTCAAGATATTTTCTAATCCTGCATAAGTTCCGGATATGATATTTGACAGTCCTGACTACATTTGAGACGTGAACATCTGGCAGCATGAGGTTGTCAAAGACGACGCCAAGAATACGCAGCTTCTTTGACGGTTTAATCACAGTCCCATCATGAAGAGTTAGAGTGAAGTTCTGGAGCAATCGTTGATGGACTTTCGAAGCAAAGACTACTAACTCAGTTTTGTCTTGATTAAGTTTCAATTTGTTGGATGTCATCCACCTGTAGACATCTCTCATTGCATCCCGTAGTCTGCATGCAGCATGATCAACAGAGTCCTGGCTAGAAGGGTCGCATTGTATATACACCTGTATATCGTCGGCGTATACATGATAGCCTATGCCATGACTGTAAAGGATATCAGATACAGGTTTCGAGTAGAGCGTAAAGAGCAGCGGGCCCATCACCGATCCTTGCGGGACACCGAACTCCAACCTGGTGTCTAGTGATTTCACTCCTCTGATTCGCACATGTGATAGTCGGTTGCTCAGGTATGATCTAAACCAGTGCAGTGCTGTGCCAGAGACACCATATTCATCCCGAAGCCTTGTCAGCAAGATCGTGTGGTCAAGAGTGTCAAATGCAGATGACATATCTAGCGACAGTAGAATGACGCATTTCCGATCATCCAGAGCACATAGGATATCATTCTGAAGACTCACCAATGCAGTCTCAGTACTGTGATTTTTCCTATATGCAGACTGTTTAGGATCACCAAGGCTGTTGTCTTCCAAGTAGTTGGCTAACTGTGATGAGACGACTCTTTCCATAAGCTTGGCTATTCCGATCATCCAGAGCACATAGGATATCATTCTGAAGACTCACCAATGCAGTCTCAGTACTGTGATTTTTCCTATATGCAGACTGTTTAGGATCACCAAGGCTGTTGTCTTCCAAGTAGTTGGCTAACTGTGATGAGACGACTCTTTCCATAAGCTTGGCTACAAACCTTATGTTCGAAATGGCCTGTAGTTTTTCATTCTTTCTTTGTCAAGTCCTGGCTTCTTCAAGACTGGTGTCACAGATGCAACACCTAGAGATGATGGAAAATCGCCTGATGCCAACGATGCGTTGATGATATGCGTCAGCTTTGGCAGCAAAACAGGAAGGTGACGCTTCAGGAGCCACGTTGGAAGAGGATCCAAAGGACATGTCTTGTTGGGTGAGCGTTTGATCAGCCTCTGAACCTCCTCTGATGTGACCAACTGGAACTCCACGAATGAAGGGGCTGAGATTGCCATACCATTTGGATTGTCCAATTCGTCAACGTTTAAGTCATCTATACATCTCCGCAAGTCTCTGATCTTCTCACTGAAGAATGTGCAGAATGTAGAGGCAAGCTCAACTGATGAATCAGCATCTGGGAGAAATCGTTTACTCTTATTCAGAAGATGCTTCAGTTCTCTATACATGTCCTTTGGAGTACTTTCAGAAAACAGGTCATTGTAGTAGAACCGTTTAGCCCTTGACAGAGCTTCAGCTGCAGCAGCTTTAGCTTCACAGTAGGCCGATCGATCGCTATCGGGATTGACTTTAAGGGATTTACGCCATTTCCGCTCCTGTCTTCTGCGTTCACGTCTTGCAGCATCAACTTCTTCGTTGTACCACTTTGGCCTGTGACGAACTTGCGTGGTGCGGAGACATACAGGCGCATGGATATCCAGGACACGCTCCATGTCTCTGTCAAGATTGAGCACGCAACTGTTTACATCCTCCGCCAAGGGTTGATTGTCAAGGAAACTGGCAAGATCATCGGCAAACAACGTGTGATCAATGTTGCTGAATTTGCGATATTCCTGTGGCCGTTCATCTGTAGATGGTCTTTCACCACGGATCATGCAGCTCACGGCTACATGGTCGGACATGAGGCTCGGATCTGTACGTATGGAACAGAGAAGATTCTCATCTTCCCTCGCAATCACTACATCCAATGTATGGCCGTGTCGATGAGTTGGCTTTGATATGTACTGCTTGAGTCCTGCGGATTTCAGCGTATCTACAACGCGTGCGACATCATGTCTCTCGGGACAGTCATAATGGACATTCAAATCACCTAAAAGCAGTAGCTTCCCAGGAGTCTGATTCATGTCATCGATGAAGCTGTCAAATTCTTCGAGGAACGTAGATGTTTTCAGACCATTCGTGCTGGATGGTGGTGGACGGTACACAGCAACATAGTTCACCGAACGAGCTTTGTCTGTAATAATGCAGTGCTCAAATGTTGTAAAATGAGGATCAATAGTCACTTGATGTAGTTTCAGATCAGACCTGACCAGAGCACCAACACCTCCGCCACGACTGCCAGTGCGTGGAACATTGGTGAAAGTATAACCAGGTGGTGTTACCTCAGCAATTACAGCGTCATCATTTTCAGTCAGCCATGTCTCTGTGACAAACATTACATCAACTTCGTTGGTGATGACATAGTCTTGAAGAAGAAGAGATTTATGTCTCAGTGAGCGAGCATTCCAGTGACATACATGCTGTAATGTTTCATTTCCGACATTTGCATCAATAACAACATTGGAAGAGTCAATTCCCGTTGACCTCACTAGTTGTTTCCTTCTTGCTCTGTTACCAGCTCGGCAACCTCGATACCTCAGAATGCCATTTTCCTTCAGTAGGGATAGTACATCTGCTGATGGTGTGACCTTAGCACATCTTGAATGTCTCAATGCAATCAGGCTGGACCTTGAATACCGGAGACCATGAATGGGCTTTGTCTCCATTGTTGAAGGGCTTTGATGCACGGTCCAGTGTCTAGACATTTCACGGTTCAGACATAAGACTCTAAAATGGTCAAAGTCTTTGTCAATGTTGCTATTCAAAATGCAGTCCTAATTTGAACCTCCGCATAATAGGTGCTCTGTACTGTAGCTTAACACTGCTAGCAGTACAAGTGAAAGTGCAGCAAAATCAGTCGAAAACATATCCTAAAATCTCGCTTTAATCATTCATGAAAAACCACTCAAACACTGTCCAGTAGGATGACAAGGTCCCAAAATGAATGTTGATATAAAAATTGAAGGCAATAGTAGTCAGGAAACACATATAGTAACACAAAATCAGGAGAGCATCCTGAGAGTGGCAGCAGTAGTAAACAGCGCCTTCAACTCACGATTGGCGTGTCCGTGATTATGACTTTCGAGGTTCTCTGGCATTTTATATTAAATTTATATTGTTTCTTTAAAAAAGTATAGCACGCTAGTTGTAATCACCGCACGTATGTTTTACACAACTCCTGTATGAAACAAATTTATTCCGTCATCAACAACTAATATAATATTTTCGAGTCTACTCTCCTGCTCCTGCTCTGCAACTCTACTCGCCTACTCAACTCTCCAACTCAATCCAGTCTTCTACTCAAACCTCTCATCCTGCCTACAACTTTCTGGTTTACAGTCCTTTTCAGGACTATACTCACTTCCGAAAGATACTCTTCCTTCCAACCTCCACTTTCTCGCCTTTCCATCTCACTTCTATTTCTATCTACTTTCCTTAGTCCTTCTAGGACTTTACACATGGTGTACCGTAAACCTCTTCCGCGATTGTTCATACCACCATGCAAACCTTCAAACATCATAATATTTTCTGTGCAGATGATTGGGACAGGACGTCGAGAGATACGTCATAGATGAACATTTATGTTTGATTCATTACAATTTCGAATATTGATTTCTTTCTTATTTAAAAAAAAAAATCTAATTTTGAAGTTTAAACTACACAGTGAATGGTCACTAGCCGCTGTTATTTCCAATAATTTAGGGTCCTACTTATTGGTGTATACAATTTCGTTGTATTTACCGAATCTAAATCAGTGGTACTCTTCATCCTGCTGTAATTAGGATGTTCACATAGATTCTCGTATTTTTAGAAGTTTGTTTTCCAAGAGAGATGTTAGTTAGTGTAGTAGTCAGCTCTCTGCCTTCGCCTACAGCCGACTCTGATGGACGCCAGTTCGAATGGTGACGATAAATTTCGTTCGTGACCATACCTGTTGGGTTCATTTTCTATAAAAATAAAAAAAAAAATTATACATACACACATACACATTTCGACACTCATATTTACACATCGGTATAAAATGTTCGAGGACACATTATGTTTGTAGTTGTGGGTTGTAGGAATATAACATCCCGAAGATGCTCTGGACATTTACAACATAAACAATGACCTACTTTTTCCATGCAAATAGGTAAACTGATATAAACGTACCCCTATATGGTCGTCAAAGTGGAGGTACAGTTCTTGATGATATCGGCACACACCCATCCACGAACCCACAAACACACACATTAAGTTCATATAAAATCTGAAGAGACCGCGTTAGGTCTATGTACAAAAAAAAAAATCATAGTCACGTGACTACCCCACTGCAAACTATGCCGTTTGCGTGCATAAAATGTATAAATCAGTGACGGGGAATCGGTCGTAGCCCTCTCCCTCCCCACCCCCTCTTTTTGTGTCTTAATATTAAGAGAGAACGACTCTTAGACCCCCGACCGGGGCTCTGCATCTGAAATTTAATAGGTGCCTCAAGGTGGCCCCCTGGACCCAATCCGTAAAGATAGGAGTGGTTCCCAAAAGAAACCAAAACGAAGTGTTTATTGGTACGTAAGAATGAAAGGATCCTGTCTCCGTTTAAGCGTTGAGGGTTTGTTATTTTCTCAGTTGACTGGGCGTGCGACAAGGAAACTGGCCAGGCAGTTGAGAATTATAGTGTTCGTCTCGTCGACGAATATTGATAAAGGGTATATTCTGTATTCATTGGCATAACGAACTTTAGCTTTCGATCGAAATGGCTCTGCGTCAATCAAAGATGGTTCTCTGTATGGCAGTATACATACTTGGGATGCTGTTATTCACAGATAATGTGAAAAGTGAAATTATAGTAGCCAATGCTGGAGAGAATATTACTTTACGTTGCAGTACGATTACGATATACAGGTGGAATACCCAGTGGGTAAAGGACAATCAGTATCCTATTGCAGCCGTCAGTGCGAGTAACCCTCATGGTTTTTTGTATAATGATAGTCTATTTACGCAGTCGTATGAAATGGAAATATCTCCTACACTATTTAATTTGTACATATATAATGCTAGACCAGAATCGGCAACATAATTATGATTGCCGGTATGCCAGTAAACATATTCAGGAATACGACGTCCGTGTGATCGGATGTTCGACTTGCTTTGTAAATTTATCAACGTCACACGATTTGGAACAACCAAGAAAGGATGTGAATTGCTTACTTAACAATTTTCATACAGCCGAACGAATTCGACTACAAATAACAATCAACAGGAGCAGAACGAATGCGGCCATCATCAAAGGTAGTATTTTAACCTTTAATATTCCAATCACCATGATACATGGTACAATCCAAGTTCAGTTTAATCCGTTTACTGATACTCTTTCGAACATTAAGTGTATCTTACCAGCTCAGCTAACAACACCTCAAAGTTATACTTCGGTTAAACTTTCTCCAAGTACCTCACCTATAACAATATCAGCAACGTCATCATCAAGCACATCGACAACAAAGTCAGAAACCACAGGAACAACAACAACAAGGACAAAACTATATGACTCGACGCCAAAGTCATTTTCGTCACCGATTATGGAGACTTCTTATTTGACTTCTGGAACTACAACGTCTAACCAGACGAGAAATTATATAAGTCCAGGAACAGGAAACGATATTAAAATCAACGGTATTACAATCATCATAATTGCCATCCTTGGTTCTTTCTTGATAATTGCTGTCATTGTGATACTAATACTTGTTTTAAGATTGAACCAAACACGAGACCGACAGGAAGGAATAGGTAATGAGGGTGAAATACATGAATATGACGAGATTGATGAGGTAGTTGTAATAGATCGTGAACATGATACAGCTTACGAGTCGACCATTTGGAAAACGACACGAATCGACGAATAAGGATATGAACGAGTCCAGTGATAGGATTATCCAGAAATCGATTTTGAGATCTGGGGATAATCAATTAGACACCGCATTCTATATCATACCCGACAAGACAGGAATCATGAATCGTGTTGCAAAGTCAGAGGTTGTATTTGTTATTTTCCGTGGCAACAGCTCTGTAAATCGTCATTAGCATGAGCAGAAATAATTAAAGCAAGAGGACCAGTATAAGAATGTTGACATGCCAAATCTGGGAGCCGAAGATGACAATGATACAAATATCCCTCTCTAGTCCAGGATCAGCATCTACAGGGGATGGTGCGGATAACCCGTTCTATGCTTTGTCCGATAAAAGACCAGGATCTAAAGGGAACATTATATATGCCACATCTGGACCAGAAAAGCGAAATGAGGGTGATGAAATCCCACTCTATGCTGTGCTCAATAAAGAACCATCCTCTAAAGATAATCGGCCTACAGTGAAGCCAAAACCAAGCGACCAATCCAAAGCCTTAAATAAGGATGATACACAGTCATGATGAAGAGGCTTTGTACGCCGAGGTCGATAAACCTAACTGAATCATTATTATTACTGGATACACTTTAGTGTAGTACACTGTTACCCATAAAGTCGGAATCATTTTTGTTTACTTCTTTTCATAAAAGGATGTGACAATATGATTTATTCCTGATAGATTAAGTTTATAATTATCTTCCCATAACTTTATTAATCAATCTCTATGACTCTTTCAATATTGATCAATAGAGTTCTAAGAAGTTATAAACTGTATGTACCAATAATAATCATATATCCACATTCACTTCATAAAAAGACGTTACAAAAATTATCCAAGATTTAGAAATACCCCATTGTCACTCACTCCATATTGGTCTACTTTAAACTGATCCACTAGCGATCCACGTCTGGAGCGGTGCGAGGTACGCCTCCTGGTACACTTACGTCTTCACAACGTAGACCGGTCCAGGAAGTAGGTGAGAATAGGGTCTTTCATGACTTACCTTAGAGTTTATATTCTTTAAAAGGTATCAAAAAATCACATCATCATTTCATCTTTGGAGAACGTACCAATGGCTATGTCACTTTAAAATATAAACATAATTGTTTCTCAACACGTCTGTAACATGATGTTTCTATGTTAAAGGGATAGTTGAGTTCTGTTACAGAGGGCGCTACACAAAATATTTTTTGTTAAATAATGAAAAACTGAGTGTCAAATTTGAAAGAACATACAATTTAAATGACAAAATCATCTCTGTTTGATCAAAATCGGTTCAGAGACGGCTGAAATATCCATAAATATAACGATTTATGATACTTGTGTACCAACACAAATATTAAAAATTTGAAAAATCCGTTGAAACAACGAAATAGCGCCTTTTACGTCGTATTTCAGCCAATGCCGATGTTGGCTTTTTTTGTTGGCATTTTCGTGTTGGTTTTATTATGCACAAGCAGCCGGCCCATGTACTGTTATTTTTAATTAAATAATTAATTAAAGGTCATGGTATTTTTTTTTTAAGTGGAGCTGAATTGGTATGATCGTATTGGCTAAATTTCACACATTTGGGGGTCTAAAATTACCTTCGGCATAGCAATTTTAGGTTCTGAAAGGGCACTATAAATGTCATAGATAAGAATAAGAGCAATAACCATGTACTTTGAAGGCATTTGCGGTCTGGTAACAGAACTCAACTATCCATTTAAGATTAAATAGTCAATTATCCAATGATGATTAGAAATCATGCTGTGAAATCGTATTGAAATCTTATTATTTTTC